GGTCAGTTTATCGATTTGTCATTGCTCCTAAAATCAGCTGCAGAGTTAGAGTATTTCGATTCGCAGGACAACTTGCAGATTAGGAATGGCACTTTATATGTTGCTAACTCTAAGAAAAACACTTTCTTACCTATAGAGAAATGGACCTTAGCATTTTTGATATTTACTAGCATTATGTTAGAAAAGTTTAGTTCTAAAGCACAGGATTTGTTAAAATATATCAGAGACATTTGGCTGGCAGCAAGCATGTCCAGTACTTGGTACAAGTATGATGAGCAGTTTCGTCTACGCAAAGCCCTTTCACCTAATACTCCATGGGGTGAAGTTAATTCTGAATACTGGCTTATGTATGTATCAGCTGGAAATACACACACAAGTTATAGTCAGCAAGTTACAAGCATGCAAAATACTCCCTCAAATAAAGTACCATTAGGCAAACAAACTGGGGGTTGCTGTTTTGTTTACAATGCTGGTAAACCCTGTCCTTTTTTCCCCAGATGCAGGTATAACCACATGTGTAGCCAGTGCGGCGGAAAACACCCTCAAGTTAAGTGCTCAAAACAATCGCTAGGTTTACTCACTAAGACAGACAACAGTAAAAACTAGCTCATTGGCAAAACATTTGGAAGGCTATGAACATGCAAAATTTTTACTTCAGGGTTTTACTTTTGGTTTTAGGCTACAATATCAGGACCAACGGGGGACAAGAGAATGCAGAAATCTCAATAGTTTATATGAAAATTTGACAATAGCTGAAAATAAAATCAGTAAAGAGGTACATTGTAGCGCTACAACAAGTAGCAGGACCTCCAAACCCTCGATTTGTTTGTTTACAAGTTTCCCCACTAGGTTTAGTCCCCAAGAAGGACGGTGATATGCATTTAATTCATCACCTCTCATATCCAGAAGGAAGTTCTATCAATGATTTTATTGATCCGATGGCCTGCTCTGTTAACTATGCAAGCATTGATGAGGCAGCAGATATTATAGCTTCTTTAGGAACTGGCACATTACTGGCTAAATCTGACATAAAATCCGCCTTCCGCCTTATCCCCATATCACCAGCTGATTTTGACCTCTTGGGGTTTAAATTTCAAAGTCAATATTATTTCGACAAAATGCTACCCTTTGGGTCTTCCATAAGTTGTTCATTGTGGGAGAAATTAGCATCCTTCTTACATTGGCATACAAAACAACATTCGGGCAATGCTTATTCACTACCTAGATGATTTTTCTTTTTTGTGGCCCAAGTCTTACGTGGGTTGCGCAAATACATTGCAACATTTTAGAACCCTTTGCTCAGATTTAGGCATACCGATAGCTGAGGAAAAGACTGTAGAACCAACTGAGGACTTCGTTTTCCTAGGCATTAGATTTAACACTCGCAACATGACCATGTCACTACCTACAGATAAGATAGTAAAATTACAAGAAAACATCAATACAGTGTTGCAGGCCAAAAAGGTCACACTTAAACAAATGCAGTCACTATTGGGACTTCTTGCAGAGTGGTAGCACCAAGTAGCGCATTATACAGACGCCTCATTAATTCTACCATTGGCATCAAAAAACAACACCACAAAATCAGAATAACACAAAATATCAAACTTGACCTACTCGTATGGACAACTTTTTTGAAAGACTTCATGGAGTATCAGTTATTAACATCCATTTGGTTGACAGCCACACCGTTCAATTGTTCACAGACAGTGCTGGGGGAGAGCGGGGTGGATTTGGGATATATTTTGGTGGCAAGTGGGCTGGGGGTCAATGGCCACAAGACTGGGGCTCAGTGGGCATTCTTAGAGACATGACATTTTTGGAACTATTCCCTGTGCTGGTGGCTCAAACACTTTGTAACAAATACCTTCAAAACACCAAACTTCTTTTTCACATTGACAACATGTCAGTGGTACACATTATTAACAACTCTACAAGCAAATCAGATAGAGTCATGAACATTGTCCGTAAACTGGTACTCATTACACTACAATACAACATACAAATTAAAGCATCATATATTCCTACTAAAGCAAACTCAATTGCTGATGCAATATCTCGTTCACAGTGGGCTAGGTTCCGATATCTCGCACAAGAAGCAGATTTCTTCCCCACACCGGTTCCAAACCATGTATGGGATATCTAGAAGAAGAGGCATCAAGGCTTTTAAACGACTCTCTATCTGCCAACACACAAAAAGCATACAACACAGCACTTGAGCGATTTCAAGGTTTTTGTACACAATATTGGTTAGATCAATCCTGGCCAGTCTCGGTAGATCAGGTTTTACACTACATAGCCTTTTTGTCCATCCATAAGTATTCATACCGAACAGTTAATTTGTACTTAAGTGCCATTTCTCATCATCACAAAATCAACGGTCACAACGACACAACTAAAGTATATGTAGTATCAAAAACACTTGAAGGCCTATGTAGATCAGCCGGAGTAAACAAAGATTTACGAATTCCCATCTCTCTTACCATTTTCATCAAATTTATTCAGACCCTTCCAGTTGTGTGTCGATCTGCTTATGAAGCTTCACTTTTTCGGCATCCTTCTGTATAGCTTATTTTGGTTTATTGAAAGTAAGCGAAGTTCTGTGCATTCAACTCTCTGATTTACATTTTTTTTCAACAGATCATCTCACAGTTAAAATCCAAAAGTCCAAAACTGATCAGATAGGTCTCTCAACTTTAGTCAAATTAACCAGTCAATCTGACTATAAGATCCGCCCTGTTAATCAGATCAGAGAGTATATCAAATCTAGGTCAAGCAACTGCAACTTGCTGCTTGTGCATGTGAACAACAAACCCAGTACACGTTTTCAATTTCAATCAGTTTTGCAAAAAGCACCCAATTTCTTGCAAGTCCCGGGTCATTATAGGTCACATAGCTTTCGCATAGGTATGGCCACCGAATTAGCAAAACAAGGGGTATCAATCAACCACTTCAAAGCACAAGGGGGATGGAATTCGAATGCTTATCAAACCTACATTCGTACAGATTTTCAAGGTCTCGGTTAGGAACAACTTCAAAATCATTGATTAACAATTGTGGAATTATATTTCAGAATGTTACAATTTTTGATATGCTTTAAAACTTCAAAAAGTTAGTCCTTTCTAATTTCAACAAAGCTTTCCAGGTGTGTCCATTTGAATAATTGGATCAGCAGAACATAGGCCTGGGGGTACTAATTTAAACTTGCCAGCTTCAATAACTTGGAATGGTGTAAGGGGACTTCAGTGGCATCAGGTTGAACAAACCATAGCAACTATGGCTGTTAAATTTTCTCCCCCTGATTGGTTAATTTTTCATGTCGGATCAAATGATCTGACTTCTGGTGACATTACCTCGAAATCTTTCTCACATATGGCACAATGCACATTATACAGATACAATGCACTGTGGCCTAACACTAAGCTAGTCTGGTCATGTTTACTACCAAGGCGTTATTGGCATTATGCACCTCTTGGGGACGGGTCAAAAATCAATAAGAAAAGGGTCAGAATAAACAAGCTAATGAAAATAGTTATGATTAAGGAAGTACAGGGATGTGTTATTGAACATGATCATAATATCAAAGCAACAGAAATTGACCTCTACCGTACTGATGGCACACATTTATCTAATGTAGGCAACCAAATATTTTTGAATAATCTTCAAGCAGCAATGCAGTTTTTCTTGCAGAACAACCAAAGAATATTTCCTGCCACAAGCCAGTGAAACAGAGACTTTTCTTTCCCTACGTGCAAACAGTAGTAAACACATGGATGGTCAGAGCATAGACATTTATATTCATAGTTAAATCATTTTACTTTTTATGTTAAACACAGAACATTGCTATAATTTTGTGGGGGACATTGAAGCGGGACTGGGGAGTGCGTTGTGGTAGCTGATCACTAATTCTGCTCCAAAACCTGTTGTCTCCTCCCACCTGCTACTAAAGCAGGGGGCATGTGTTATGTTTACTATCAAGTTGGTTAAAAAAGTTAGTAACAAAAGGCAGTACTTAAAGGTTAATTGTAATAGAGAGGCTCACAGCTAGTCCATTGCTGGTGCCTAATCCACCTCCCTACCTAGGGAGGGGATGCTACAGGCTGGGGCATGTTCTTTGGGGGGGGGGGGGGGGCACCCGTAGGGCAGTCTACTGGGTCCTTCCTTTCATGCATTATACCAGGTAGCTCTCAGGAGATGGGCGAGAAGGGCAGGCATCACTACCCTCCTCAGAACGCGATGACTCGTTCATGCTCTGTGCACCTATGTTCACATAGGGCTCCCAGTGGGTCCCCTACATTGGGTAGTTAAATTGTAACACTGGCCGCCTCCCCAGTTCCCCACAAAATTTTTATATGCGACCTTTTCCACCATATTTTGATAATTGTCTGTTCTTTATCTGCATATTAAAAGTTATAAATGTGCAAACTTTCTTATGTTGTGAATTCTGCTAACAGGCAGCTCCAGGGAATCATAGTGTACTATCTCAATTAATACAGTTTTGTATTTTACAGTAATTGTTTGGTGGTTTAAAGACAGTAACTAACTGAGTAATGTATATTTTAAAAAGATTGAACGGTTTATTAATGTTGTATCGTTTTAAGGTGTAGTACAAGATATGGTAAATCTAAGCACAGGGATGAAAACAAGTTTCAATCATGGTCAATGCTTCATATCTAAGTGCACAGTAGTCAGCTAGTAAGGTCTAGTTAAAAAAGTAGCCATGTCTATAATTAATCATTTATTGTGCACACATAACTTAAGCACAAATTTTATGGATAACTCAGACATCACCTTGAAGACCACACAACGAGTACTTGCTGGTCAGCTGTGATGTTACATCAAAACACACAAATATGCAAATGGAGAAGCCAGTGGCTGCTGTTGATAGGCGTAACAGAAAAATTCTCAGTCTAAGCCTGACCTACAGTACACCTACATGTAGATTGTTGCCCATAAATTTCTTTCTGTTTTACACTTTTATGTCTGAACATGTGGTTAACGGAAAAAGAGCACCAAAGACCCAGATTTTGACATCATTTCCTGGTTGAACAAGATGAAGCAGAGTAATAAATGGGTAGGCTTTACCTGATTGGCTGAATTCAGGTATGTAAATACAGCCTACTCCGGATACATTGAAATTCAGGGGATCATGCAAATTATTTCAATATATCCGTAATTCAATATAAGCGAAATCGTGAAGCCGCCATTTTTTTAATTAAAAGTTCAATCCCGATCTTAAAATAAAGAACAAACCCAAACAAATTAATGTCATCGTTTACCTATAACAGTGTACAGATGACATGGAATATTAAGTCCTTGAAAGTTAAAAAGAATTGTTTCTTTCTTTTTTATCAATAAAACAATCTTCAACTTCATTCTTATTCCCCGATCGCATTTATTTACATTTTGGGGAAAAATCACCGATGTCAAACTGTTGAGTACTGCTGTATGCTGCATGTATTTCATCGTAAGTGTACTCGGGTTGATCTCTTAGCTTTTTCGAATTTAGGTTTATCATTAGCCATTAACAGTACGTATTTAATTTGAAAGTTAAGTTTTTTCTATATCTGTGGGGGTTACTATGTTGCCTTTAGCCTAAATACTTCCGTATTATATACATGGAAACGAAGAATTTAGCAGTGAATAATTTTATTTCGTAAGAGCATGGAGTATAAAAACACATAAGGTGAAAACTTAATTATTCACACCTTTTTATATCAACTGGTCAGTCAGGCATAATTTCTGTCACCAACCGTAACGACAGCTGCCAGGGAGTACTTCAATATAACCGTTATGAAAACAACTCATTGTCACCTGTGGGGATCGATCAGTGGCTTCAATATAAGCGAAATTTCAATATAGCCGATTTCAATATAACTGTTATTTTAATGCAAAGAATATGAGAGTCAAAAACTGGGGATTTATTTTTAATTCAAAATAAGCGGAATTTCAAAATAAGCGAGTTCAATATAAGTGGAGTAAGCTGTATTTTCATTTTAAAGTAAAAATATTAATGTTTGAAATAAATGATGGAATGTGGGAATATTACAAAAAATATAGAAATACCAGGGGAGATTGTAGGAGTGGGGATTGATATTTTTGGCAGGGTGTCATTTACTGCCGATCTCTGTAAGTTCTAAATAACTGCAAATTTGACCTATAAACGCCGCGGAACGGTATATTTTTTTCCGTGTTTTTAATAAGTGCTTAGAACGAACTTTCAAATGATATCAGAGATTTGTTTGAACGGGAATTAGTAAATTACTTGGAGGGCCTAAGGTTTGTATAGAGTTCTATGGGAAATTAATTGGTACTCTTTTCCCTATAAAGACCCCATTTTTTAATATGTAAAGTGAAGTGAAAGTCATGAAAAGTTATTTTTAGCTATTTATTTGAATATTGAAGACATTTCGAGAGAAAAATTAGCCAAAATTTGAATTATTTTTCTGTGGAATTGGGGTTAGAGGTGATTTTGGGTCTTTTGTAGAGATTGGGGGGGGGGGGTACAGAGGATGGAAATTGGTAAACAATGTGTAGTTGACATGGCCAGAGGAGAAAGGTAAGTTAAGAAAATGTATCAGATTGATCTCATAATAGATGTTTGTATGTATTCCTAAATTTATGTATGTATTTTACATGTACATGTAATTGTGTATTTATAAGATTTGCTATATATGTGTACATTTGGAAGTGTAGGATGGTGGCCTGGTGTTAATTAGACGGTGGCTATTTATAGCCACAGTCTATAGCTGCTGGTCAGTGTAAACACACAGGGACCCTAGCGGCGATTTTTGCAAAGTCAAAATAATGAAAGTAGACTGATTTCGATGTTTGAAAATAAAATGTACATAAGTAACAAATACATTGAAGTTATTTTAAAGACATTTCGTTGATGGATACAAAGCCTAACTCCCGATAATTGCTGTTATCAGTATTTCTCGCCTCATGAATATTCATTACACCGAACTAAACTAACTCGTACACCAACCGACTCGTATATTCGTGTGCAAACTACACATGTCAACTCGTACACAATTGCAATTTTCTCGTTTTTTCTCACATGTTCGAAAAATCATTTTCTATGCACGTTGTGTTTCTTTAAATTACCGAATATTTGTTGAAAAACTCTGAAATCAAATGCTAGTAATAAACAACACACGGCTGGTTTTTTTTTTTACTGAAACACTGCTTTGTGGATTTTTTTTTTACAATAAAACTTGAATAGTTTAATGTTTCTAAACATAGTCTTTTGATTGTTTCTTGTATCTGTTTTCAATGCTATATTAGTAAAACGAAGATATGAATTTTAGGAAAGAAGAAAAAAGATCACCACATCTTAATCAGTTCGTAGTGACGGTTGTTGGAGGTATATGATGCCATAAAATTTGCTAAGTTTATCATCATTCTAGTTTTTGAAAATAAGACTTTGTTTGACTATCTCGGACACAAAACCGACTTAACGTATAATTTGTCAAATTTATAATTACAAAGACTATAACGGACACAATTTACCCATATATTTCATTCCTATTTATTAGATACTCTAGCGTGCCTCTAATTAATTTAACCGAAAATATACGAAAAGGGAACTCATATACATGTGCATGAATTAATATTAGTATTAGGATTTTCATGTGATTTTAGCTGAATCACATAAAAAGGAATGTGGCTTGGGCTGAATATCGGTCAGTTTTCTAGTGTGTTCATCAAGCAGTAAATATGCACTGGGACTCGCAGGGACGTTGCATATTAGAATATTAATTACGAATGAGAAATAACATAATCGCAAACCACGGCGAAAATGTATAAGATATTCATTTCTGGGGAAAGCTCCATACGTATATATACAGACTCTGATATCGTGACTTGAGACGACGGAAAATAGAGACAGAAAAATATTTTGTTATTCTGGTTTTTTTTTTCTTCTTTTTTTTCGAGCAATATACAAGGGTTGTCGTGTACAAAGCATTTTTTCTCGTAAAATAGTGGACGCTACAAAATGAAATTCTTAAAAAGTATTTATTTATCATATTTTAATGTATCTGAATTCTTTTGAAACACTTTAGACCAAAAAAAAAATACTTTATCAACATGCTTTAATGTTACAAACTATAAAAACCCGGTTATGAAAATAATACTAGTATTGTTTCGAAATAAAAGTCTTAAATAGATTTTGGTCTGGAAAGCAGTTCAGTTTTTTTCCTCTTTAGTGTAATAGAGAAATGGGACTTTTCTAAGATAATTGTTTTAATCAAATCCAAGGGTAGAACAAAGAGCTACAGAAATAGCGAAAGGCGTGGACAATGTTGATAGCCAATATATGTATAAGATTATTTAGTTGAATGATAGTAAAAATATTTATCCATAACTTTAGTACTAATAAATCTTCACAATGCCCCTTTTGCGCGCGATATTGGTTTCTGACTGTTATTTGAAGAATTAAGGGAAACTCAAATATGTGCAATGATATTCCTTGATTTAAGTGGGAATTATCCAAGGTGTTTTTATCAAAGAGGAAACTTGACGCTGCTTTAGACACTTTGATATTATCATCCGTAACACATTAAATGAAATCTTGTAATTGTTTATTTATAAAATTTAATGTATATACCTATTTGCTGTGTTTTTTGATGACAAATGTACTTAAGATAGTGCGTAAACATTCTAGATCAGAGTGAGAATTCATTACCATTTACTTTTAAGTACAAAAATATAAATTTATATATTAAAATACAGGTAGATATATTGTGAAAAATCGGAATTTACAAAAACTTAAAACATTTAAAATAGTTCTATACTCGGCACTAAATGGGCTCAATCTTTACAAATCTGCTTTTATACGATAGACATACATCCCAGCAATGGATAGACACAAGAAAAATTATATGTCAACATGTTCACTTTTCCGCTATAGCCTATCGGAGTATATACCCCGAAATGTAAAATACTGAAATTTTACCTATCCTAGATTTTGTTGTTTATAAATTAATTTAAGTTTAAATATTCAACTTTAATACCCAAAATAGAGTAGAACCATGTTATTAAACAATAAAATATCATTGTTTTGCATGAATTATTATAAATAGATGCACTTTGTTAAGCTATTGTATCAAAATTTAATGTGAGAAAATATGCTTCCCAGGACAATCTCGGTCATTAAAAAAAAATTATGGACTCAAACTTCGTAAATTTTCATTATTTTTACTAAATTACATTTAAGAAAAATAATAAGCTTAAAAAATTATATGTTGACGCATTACTTTTCGTGGTATGAGCTCTACACTAAAGGTACCCCCCCCCCCCCTATTTTCTTTCTTCCAGAAGTAATGTATTGCCACATATTTCTGTAATATTGTTAATGTTTGAGTGTATACTTGTATTAACAAGCTTGTACATTATTTAAAACAATAATTATACACACCCAAAACCTATTGTCCCTAGAATTTATCCTTTTTTACTCGAAAAATAAAAATAAACACACTTGTCTTTAGATTGGAGACGATGAAAATGAAAGTAATTCACTGATTCTCAGAAACTGGATGATTTTGTTACAGAAAGTAACAAAGTATGCTGCAAGTGAATCAACTTTTGTCAAATACTTATTCAAAAGATAATTTTGCATTGGGGTTCGTGGGTAGGCAGGTTGGGGGAGGGGGTATGTGTTTTATGCAATTATTATTATTTAATGTAAATTTGGTCATGTTTGATTAGAAAAATGAATAAATTTTCTATGTCAAATCGTAGTCATTACTTTTCTTCCGAATTATTACTATTAGCTTCAATTTGGCCGCCGACAATAGTCGCCTCGATAGTTTGATACACTGTCATACAGTCATGTTCTGATGTAGCATGTATATGGTCCGTGTTTTCGAAGCGGCATATCAAACATTCATCATTCACAGAAATATCGTTTTATTACTTAATTATTTCTGTCAACCGAGATGTTGTTCCCAGCCTTTTCTTTTTAATTAATTTATCCTTAAACTGTAGAATATGTGTTTGTTGACGCGACCGACTTCGAACAAAATCGTTACCGGATATTTAAAACGCTAAGTAAAAGTCAAACCAATATAGTTAAAAACTCCCATCTCGGAAAAGGACTCGCGGTTCCGGTTTTACTATTCGTAAATGACGTAGTGCGAGTATAGATCTACTTTAATCTTAATTATTTACTGCAAGTCGCCATCTGACGTTACGGTAGCGGGTTTGCTTTGGACTCACAGACTTGTACATGTAGTTAGAATAATCTAACTGTGTCTCGGGACAAGCCGTTACACCGGGTCCGTAGGACATTCATAATTTTAACGATATATCATTCTATCTAACGGACTTGAAGAAGTCCATCCTTACGTAGCGGATTCGACTCCCACTGCGTGACATGGATATTGGCCTTTAATTCAGATTAAGATCCCGTGTCGCAGTAATTGCTAGCCAGAAAAATCCATCGTTGCTGAAAATTTTATTCTTTTTTTAATAAATGTACGTTTATAAACAAAATCATTTATGCCACCGTCTTTCAGTACTCACAGTACTTTGATTTTTATTTAGTTTCTTATACGTTTGCACGTTTGGTATCTTTTCGAATAATTTATTCGGCCCTTAAAAGTGCCTTTTGTGGTGTTCATGTGAAAGGAGGGCATTTTCTGTCTTGACGTATCATATCGGTAGTGTATGTGATCATCTGGATTACCTCCCTTGGACTGCGGGGGGGATCAATTTGTAGTTTGGTTGTTTCTATATTGTAGCTACACAATGGTCTGTGTTTTCCCTTTTTTTGCTCTTTGTAGTTTCATCAGGGTGACTCTCTGCAACTCATTTTCTACTGCTTTCCAGTTTTTGTACTTAGAGTTACTTCCCTTAGACTAGCTAACCAAATATGTAGAGTTTCAACATGATGTAATCTTAATTATTGTGACCTAAGGCTTCTGATTTTTTTTTTCTTGAATTATTGGAATGGCATTACTGCATGTGTCACATTTGACTTTTCTAATATTTACATGTAATTACATGTAAAATTGTAAAACATGTATTCCACCCTTGACGGATCCATTTTTTAAGCATTCAGCCATGTAGAAGATATGTAATTTTTCAGAAAACTTGATAAATATTGCTGTTTTCTTTATGATTTATGCATAATTTGACTAACTTTATTGATTCATTTTCATTTAAACACTATAGAGGACTTTCATCTTTCAGCTTCCTCGGACCCGGAAGAGCTTGGTATCTGATCGGCGGGGGGCATTTTCTCTATATAAGAAGAAGAAGGAGACTCGCTACCCACCTGATATATTTTGTCGAACAGATTTCTGTACATTGCAGGTAAATTTTTCATTTATTAACTTTCCAGCCTCTTATTGTGGTGTACATTTTGGGGTTTTAAGTCAATTATTGCATTTCTTGATTTTTTACAAATTCATCTAAATTCCCCTTTTTAAAGCATGAAATTCAATAATGTAGATTATGGTTGTACTGTATAGGACTATCAGATACTGCACTTTGATTTGTTATCAAAAGTATTAATTTTCTCTTGTCTGAATTAATTGTAAACAAATATAATAGGGGGCACCTGCTATTTCTCTAAGTGTCTTTCACTGGGGGGTGGGGAAACTTTTTTGTATATACTTAAGCAACAGGAGGGGTTAGATAAGAATCATTTAGTATACCAGAGTCTCTAACAATTTACTTTGCATAAGCATAAAAAAATTTCTATATCAGTCTTTTTAAAACCCTTTAATTTTGCTTAATTATCTATGATTTATCAAATTTTGGACCTTTTTTCTTTATTCTGGGTAGAATCCACCCCTATGAAAAAATTGACACAACCATGACTTTATATCATTTTATTAACATTAAAAAACAAGATCATGTTATTTTATAAATATTTTATTCATTACAGTGACAACTGTATCCAGATTTCATCACAGGAATGAAAGTTTTTCACTCTTTGGAACAGTACCTGCAGCAGGGAGGGGTCATTCATTAAGATGGTCACAGATTCCAAGACACTGAAGTGACAGGCCTCAAATTTCATACTTGTATATTGGTAAGTATAAGGTCTTTGAAAATTACAAAATTGACTAATTCTGGGATAGGTAAATATGTAAGTATAGGAAAAAGAGCACCAAAGACCCAGATTTTGACATCATTTCCTGGTTGAACAAGATGAAGCAGAGTAATAAATGGGTAGGCTTTACCTGATTGGCTGAATTCAGGTATGTAAATATTTTCAATTTAAAGTAAAAATATTAATGTTTGAAATAAATGATGGAATGTGGGAATATTACAAAAAATATAGAAATACCAGGGGAGATTGTAGGAGTGGGGATTGATATTTTTGGCAGGGTGTCATTTACTGCCGATCTCTGTAAGTTCTAAATAACTGCAAATTTGACCTATAAACGCCACGGAACGGTATATTTTTTTCCGTGTTTTTAATAAGTGCTTAGAACGAACTTTCAAATGATATCAGAGATTTGTTTGAACGGGAATTAGTAAATTACTTGGAGGGCCTAAGGTTTGTATAGAGTTCTATGGGAAATTAATTGGTACTCTTTTCCCTAACGAATACACAATGCTTACTAAATATTTACTGTAGCCCGAACCCGATCCCAAAACAATGATAATTTTACAAAAACATAAATCTCAAGAACATGGATTATTTAGTCAGATTAATCGCAAAAAGTAATATATTTGAATTCCATGCAAATAAATATGACCAAAATATCAAAAACACTTCTTCCATTAAAAAATACTATTAAAAATCTGATTTAAATAATAATTAACCAAATTTTAGTAGAAAGGAAATCTGGCACTGAAGTTTGGCATTTTCTACAGATAAACGGAGTATTCATTATTTATGTGAAGACCTCTGACACCTTGTCCTCCAATAGAGACAGACAGATGGGCAGCAGGTGCTGGCTGATCTCCACTGAAGAAAACAACTCTGATGTCATGATCAGCTGTCTATAGATTCTTCATCATTTTATTTATTTTCTGATATCAAAAAATATATTTTGTGATATCAAAAAATCAATTTCGAATTTCAAATTTTGGATATCAGAAAATGACATTTTTTGATAACATAAAATCCCTAAGATTTTTTTATATAAAAAATTCGAATTCTTGATATAAAAAAAAAAGTTTTCTGATATAAAAAATTAGTATTATTTGATATTTTATTTTCTGATATCAAAAAATATATTTTCTGATACATGTATCAGAAAATGATTTTCTGATATCAAAAAATAGAATTTTTGATATCAAAAATACCTTAAAAATATTAAAACGGCGCTCAATAGATGTATAGTTATTACTGTCTATATACTGAAAACAAATGGGAAGCTGTTGTTCGTTTCAATGGACTAATTATTGCATAGAATAGCTGTTGTTGTCTATAGATTATTTTTGCATGTGTCACTATTGTTAATGTCTACAGACTTATAATTGCGTGGATAGCTGTTGCTACTGTACATAAAGTAATAACTTGCATGTAGCGTTGTTAATGAACTTTTGCGAATACGCTCGGCTGATCGACTTTTTCAGTTAAAGAGGCACTGTGACGCACAAAGGAGAAAATTGACAAATGTAGAATTTTTGCATGACCCGTGTAAATCTTGTTCAATTCCTAAAAGTAAAAGGTTTCAGAAAATCACAGAACCTTTCAGAACCTAAAAATTCTATTTTATGGAGATAAATAAATGTAAAATTATTTTTGTATGCCCCATAACGAAAATATTGCAGAATACCCTGGTTCCTCTGTAAGTAGTAAGCAGACCAAAATTTTGATGCAACCTTTTAAAAAGTTGTTAGAACAGATTTCTCACCTTTGCATGCTCCAATGGAATGTTGTTTACAAGTTTGAGCTAAAAATATGAGTGGCGTGACCTTGACATACTCGGAAACACCGTTCAAAACGGAAGATATAACCTTGGTTTTTCCGGCACTTATAACGTGCAGTCATTTCTTGCTTTACACTGCAGTTTAATTGTCATATCTTAGCTAATTACTCATAATTTTCATAAGTCTTTCTCTGCATGCTACATGTACAGATATCTTAAAAGAAACACATGATTTGACTCCTGCACATAGTCACTTTGACGGTTTACTTCGACATTTAAGGAGGCTCATTACACCATTTTTTAATGACGTACTACACCTAAAAAACCTCCATTGTTTTGACCCTTTTCTTCTGGGGACGAATTGTACAGGTACCTCTATAATATGACCCTGAACTTTAAAACATGTTTAAAAATAGATGAAACATGTGGTGTTGTACATGTAAACCATGAAAACAAAGTAACGGATTCATTATGCATAAACCAAGAAGGATTGATTTTAAGCAGAAATGAAAGAAAAACAACAGCCAAATCTTAGCCAAACAAGTAATGTGCAATTTCATAGCTCTATATCAATCAATGACATGTTTGTATGGAGGAAATTCGAGTTAAAATCTACAACCTTGTTGAAATTAAAAAGTTATCTAATTGCACTGTTAACTGTATTGGTATTAATTTATATATTTGCTTTATTGATTTAAATATATACTCTGGCTATTTAAAGCTTTGTTCTGAGTTTTAGATGTAAAATGCAAACGTTCCTTAGTCTTTTGAGTCTTGGATAATTAAGAAAGATAACTCTTGAAAGTGGACTTTTTATACCAACTATTTTTTAAATTGGAATTTTCAATTCGTTTAAACATTCTTCATTTAATTTATCACATGTAATTCATTGAAATACACTCCTTGTCTCTTCAAAACTTATTTTCTTAGTATTTTATGCACAGATTAAAAAGATATTGAAATTGATTGTTTTTTTTAGGAGAAAACTATTTTTTTCTAATAAAACTAGATAATTACCCGCGCAAGCGCGGGAAATTGAATTTATATATATATATCGAGCTTTACCATTTATGCAACAGAAAATTAAATATATTGTAGTTGGAAGTTGTAGATTTTACTGACAGACTACAGACTTATAGAGGGAAGAAATACTTTGTTCAAAAGTCCGCATGAAAGAAATGTTCGTCACTATTCCCACCCACTTTTTGTGAAAATTTGAAAAATAAAAAATGCTTTAATTGACGTTTATGTCTTCAAAACTTCATAAAATGTTATGGATATTGCACTTCAAATGTTCTTAGTTCATTTTCATGAAGGATAAAAGCAACGAATATACATAATATACAAATATATTGGTTTTTGGGTGTTGGGGAGGGGTAAAAATTCACAGGAACTTCGGTCTGGGTTTATAATTATATATGTACCCTTATCGATACATAAAAAGGATGCCCCCTCCCCCCACTTTTTTCCAACCAATACTTTTACTATTGGAAATGTTCAGTGAAAGGCTGGTTGCCCCCCCCCCCCCGCCCCCTTAATACTACAGGAAATTCATATAAGGGAAATATATTGTTGGATACCAAAAATTTGGTTCTGAAAGAAGTTGGCATTATGAAATGTTTTTATTAAAGCACAAAACTTCATAGTTAATTAATTGTATTTGATTACCTTATTCGTAAGTTTTCTCTCTTATTAAGGTATCCGATCCATATTAGCCCCAGATTCAATGGAATTGAATGCATAATAGATATGTATGGGCTGAATACTCTGTTCAGTTAGAACTAATTTTCATCTTTTAGTATCAGAATGTAAGAGTGGGACACGTTCTAATTTATGACCTTTTCCTGCCCTTGAAAAGTTATGTCCCTTTGATTTTATTCAATAAATATAATATATAAAAAAATTGTGTGGTAAAAAAATTATTTCTAATTGATTTTCTATTCCCAATGATCAAATACATCTTTCCACCACAGCATTTGTTGATATTGATAGTATTTATTTTTTTCTATCTTAAAAAGCTTACTTCCTTCCATAGACTTCAATGCAACCTTCAATAATTAATTTCTGCTTAGGCAATAAAATTTTTGAAAATTTCTCTTGGTAAATCCCTTTCTACTCTAAAATGCTTTAAAATAATATTAGGATATTTTACAAACAATTGATATTTAAAGTTAGAAATTTTGGTCCTAATATGGGCCGTATACCTTAATCGCAATTAAGTTGATTACAAATTGTACGTCGAGTTCGTTACCACGATGCTCTCAGTACGGAAAATACAGATTTTACCGATAAACTCATAAGAAAAACATATATACACTACATATCTATTTTAGTCTTTCGATATATGTATTTCCTGTATTTTCTATTTTCATTTGTCATTCGCCATCCACTTTTGACACCTCGCTGTCGGATTGCCATGAATTCCATTTGAATGCTCATTCTATCCATCGTTTGTCCTCCGTGTACCACTTGTCTACTTATGTAATCCTTGTTTCAATAAATATTACTTTTTTTCCGGCAACAATATGTTTCTGATAAATTCCAAGCATTTTTTGCTCGTTTTAAAAGGACGTGATGTTCCAGAAGCTTCCGTCAATATTGAGATTGGTGATTGACGAAAATAATTTACACTTTTAGCTTTTTAATTGGTTACCACAACGTATTTCTTTTATATCAATTAAATCAAGTTTTGATTGAATAATTCAGTGATGACATTTTATCAAATAAATAATATATTGTTTGTTGTCAGTTTCATTAAAATTTGTCAGTAGCTTTGATCCGCCAACCGGAAACGCCACAATACTCACGTTGATGCTATTTCACGGCTATTTTCAGAAAATTGAAGTAGACTTTTAATTTTATGTACGATACATACTATCCGAGTGAAATCTTAGTATAGTTTATGGACATAATCTTGTATGTAGTGTAGTATTGAACATTTTCGGAATCTCAGACACCTGACATCGTACTACGGACAGCGGACTGCAAACAATAGACGACTTTCGGGGAGCGTATAGAAATACGTTTTAAAGCATGTTTATCGTATAGATAATTTATTCTCGTGATACGATTTTACACTACTAGACTTGTCTTCAAGAAAAGAGGCGACACATTCCATGCAATGTATTTATAACTCGTGCAAATGAAAACGAAATTTTATTATCGAGTTCAATGATATATATACGTAACATTTTTGTACAGACCATTTACAATGTGTAAGATTGTATAAACTATCTAAAAAAATTAATTAAATGAATTGCCCTCTTGTAATTTGTTTTCATTATAAGCAGTCAATTTCCTGAGGTGAAAACTAGGTCAAGCACGGTGTGATAATTACGATAAGTTACGCATGCAGTATTTATACTCCCCGCTTGAAAAGCGGGAGGGAATTTAGTACTCGGTATGTCTGTCCGTCCGTCCGTCTGTCTGTTACGCTTTGGGGTACCCATCTCTTATCCGTAACTCCTCTCATACCACTGAATGAAATTTTTGATGTAACTTTCACAGAATATTTATTACATACTGCCATTGTGCACCTCCTATTTTACTTTTTGATTCGACAAATATTTCTGGTTTCCTTTAGCAAAACATGGACACTGCCATTATATTCATATGGGAGGCGGGGGTATCATTTAGTGAGCTCATTGCTCACAGTACCTCTAGTTGAGTTTAGATTCAATGTTTTTAAAAATTTGATTATATATCACTGTGTTTTCATAACTAATTACAAAGGAAATTAACATTAATTTTGATCTTGTTTTAATAGGGGAAACCCGAGAAAATTGAGTGGTAATGTTGTGTAATGGTCAATGTCTGTTGTGACGCTATATATATGATATGAAGTTTGACGAGTGTTAATTTTGACGAGACAAGAAAAATCGTAAATATAGTCAAAATTACCACATCGTCAAAATTTCCACGTTTACAGTACTTGTCTAAAGAAGATATCTATCATTTGACACTGAAAAGTTCTGAAATTCTGGTAATAATAAACTTGAAATAAAACATTTCACTAAAATTACACAAAAGCTAAAAAACTTCTCAAAAAAAATATTTATGACATCAATACCTCCATTTAGATATTTGACATCTACATTATAAGTGGTGCTGTAATGAAACCTAAAATAAACGTGGATGTAATGAGCCACCTTAAGGAGGCTGGCGGGTCAAGAAATTGATTACAAATTAACCACCAGATTTAAATTATTTTTTAAGATATTGTATCTTAAGCTTTCAACTATCATTTGGCAAAGAAAAAATTACAATTTAGTTTTAAAATTTGATCACTTTTGTATATCTTTATATGAAGCTCTTCTTTTAAAGGAGATCGGAATAGTCTGAAAATGGCTGCCACCCCCAGCCTCTTTAAACCTGTATCATGTAAGGAGGTACAGCATCGATTGTAGATAAGACAACTTTTCTAGTGGTCATAGGTATGGTGTTAGGGGCACTAGCATGTGAAGGGCGGTGTTTGCAGGTAGAGCGATTGTTGGATTCTTCATAGACAACTTATACGTGCTTTATTCCAGTCCTTCATTTTCGTGTAATTAAACAGGTTGGGAACACATCCCCTTTAGCGAGATCGTCTCGCTAAAGCGCGATTATCCCTTTTTAGCGGAAGAAAAACATTACCATAAACGGGTATTTTGTTGTTTTCATTATAAGGCCATTCCAAATTTTTTCTCTGTTTAGCGTCCACCCATCTTTCGAAAACCTACCTACCTATTCGCAAAAAACACACCAGCCAAAACATAAAACACAGGCTTAAAAGTCATAAAAATGACGCCCTTCAAATTATTTGATCTAAGAAAACTGCTTTGATAAAAGAAATATCTATTTTTAAGCAAAACAATGGATTAAATGCTGAAAATACACCCATTATATTATTTATAACTTACTAATACAGAATTATTTGGAGAATTTGACAAAATAAAAACATTTCGACTTAATTAATTAATTTCAGGACTCCTGATGTTGTGTGTTTTTTTTCTTATATGGGATGTCAAAAACCAAGGCGCACGCGGACGCTAAACATAGAAAAAACTTGGACTGACCTAAAATAATCAAAAATCTCGTGCGTATTGAAAATCCGGGAGACAGCATTGAAGGGTGAATTTACTACAAAAAACCGACAATATTGGCTAGAAATTTAAGACAATTACTGCTGCGTGTGAGAATAAAATGCTGAAATCCACGTGTAAATCGTGACTTTTAAGCGAATGTTTCAAGATTTACGTTCATACATGCTTTTAAAGCATAAAGAATATGTATAGATAAGTATCAAAAAGTTTACTATTCAGAATAAACGTTTAACAGCACTGGGGCGTAGTGGAGTCAGCCGAGGATTGTCAATCGATAAATGACAGAAAACTGGGACTATTTTTTAATTCAGAAATCAAATTTATGAGTCATTTCTAGGAGCTGTGACAAAAATATGCTATTCAAGTTAAGTTAGATAAAATTCAATTTAATTTACTTTTTAAATCATTTATGAAAATTAGATTAACTCCGAAAAATGAGATGGACTACTTTTATTTCGGACGTTTCTGCGAGTTTATAAAGAATGGTGCGAGTTTATATTGAATATCACAGGGGAGTAAACCGGCCGATACAGAAGCACCACGACAGCCGCTATATAATTCATTGTAAAATTACTGCGCTAGAAATCGCGTGGCGAGCATGGAAGATTGAACATAGTTCAACTCCCAAAAAGGTGTTTATATTCAGAAACCGATATTGACATAGTACAAATGTTGATAGATGGTAAACTAAATTCAGGAAAGCATGATTCAACGGCGTCGGAAAATTAGAAAAAAAGGACGGCTAATTGAAAGATAAAAAATTCAATCTGAAATAAATTGACAAAAAAAGAGGAGAATTTGACCATTGTCCAAAACTGAAAATCCTGTTTCGTGCGGGTAGAGGGGGGTGTAAGTTCGAACTTTTTTCAATTACCGCTTACCCTTCTTTTCATTAACACTGAAACGTGCCTGTTGAAAGTGAAAAACATGTTACATTGAATTACTTTTCATACGTGTTGTTATAATTCAAAGAAATATGCCTTGGGTATTCGTATTTTAATGACATAAATTGTTAATGTTTTTACCTGATGGCAATGAACAGTTCTTCGTTTGAGGACACTTTAATTGCGTTGGAAATATATGTTTGGATCTTGTATACTTGTCAAAATTTCTAAGTCCCCACTTTTATTATTTTAAGTATTTAAAGACCTTAACATTAATTAATAAGTTGTTCACAATTTTGACTTACATTTTCAATGATTATCTGTTACGGCCAAAAAAATTGGAATCGAATGTATAATTACTCAACCATGACCGTTTTTGCTAAAAAGCATGAAGTGCGAGTTTCATATGTTTTCGGGTGTATCTTTCATTTATTTAAATTTACATGTGTTCTCCATCTTTAGTTGTTTACGAAAAACAGAGAAAAGCTTGTTTAAAATGTCGTGTATGTACGAACGACAATGTGCAAGTGAAGTTGACATAGTCAAAGCTGGTGGTATTAAAGGAAAGTTGTATTTACTGCCTTTGTATTTGTTTATGTTATTTAAAACCTTTAGAATACCGTTAGGAAGATGCACAAAGCATATTTGTATTCCTTATAATCATTAAAAATTGCTAGATTTTCAACAAATACCACTAAACTAGCCTAATGTTTAACCGGAAATTTACTAAAACCGGAACCGGAAGTGCCCATGCTCAAGGCGTATACACGTTCTGCAACGCATCAACAGGGCTACTGCATAAGAATTACTCACTATAATTGTGGAAGGAACGTATCTGCTCGACAGTGCTCGTGCAATTTCTCTGCACTCATTAAAAATTAATTAAAGTCTCCTTAATTATCCAAATTATAAAAAACAAACTGGAAGAGTGAGAAATGCGTGTAAGTAGACCTTATGTACTGAAGCCTTAATATTGTCGGGTAAAACAATTTCGGTAAGCTTCAATGTCATCCACATCTCAACCCTATAGAACATGAATGGGACAAGATGGACCGGAGAGTGAGAGCTTTTCCAGCAGCAGAATCTAGCGTAACTATAGAGGACGACCTAGTCCATACATGGAATAACCTTTAATAAAGATTTTTCTTAATTTTGGGAACTCTTTGAGAAACAGTTGTCTTGATCTTAATTCGTGTGAATGGAGGATAAAAGCAGTGGTGAACGTTGCGATTTTTTAATTCTAGGGTGCCTTTACTTTTCTGCATTTTGTGTTAGCGCCCTTTAATAAAATTAGATTAAGTGAAAAAAAATCGTTTTGCTACTTTTTATCCTGTATAGTTATCAACTTATATTTTCGTAATTATTTAGTATAAAAGCTGTGTAAAACAAACACTTACCTGGGGACTTAGAAATTTTGACTAGTATATAAGTTTAATACATGATTTTTGTAAATTTTAATAGGGATTCAGATACTTTCCAAAACATGGCTACATGAAAGAATACAGAACAGTTGGCATTTTTATATTTAAAAGGGGGGGGGGCTTCTGAAAAATCTTCCCCTCCAAAAATTAAGTAATTTTTTAAAAAAAATGTTAAAAGTATTGATTGTTGATTGTTAATGCCGAGTCGGCATTTCAGCTGTATTTTGACGGCGGATGAATACTGCTAGGAAGGCTACACTATTGTTCATAAACTTAATATTCTAATTTCTATGATTTGCAGCAGTAGAGGCAATATGTTGAAGCAAATTTATTGAGATGAGACTCTAAATAATTATCGAATGGGTTGACATACTTTCGGATTTTCCTTTTTCTGAAGTTAACACGATAACAGTTTGTAAAAGTGTGAAAGTAAGTCGTCAACTGTATTAGTCAGCCCTCTTCGCAAAAGTCCATAAATGCCATACTTACACAGAGGAGATAAATAATCCGTAGAAGGTATTGTTCACCAACTGTACGTCCTCTAGATTAGAGAAATTTTAACTTGATACGTCTCAAGAAACGATATAAAAGCATATATATTTAGAAAGAAAAATCTTCTTTTGTATCATAAAGCAAAGAATGAAACAAATCATCACCATGTCCTTTCTTCTTTACTTTTAAAGAACCTTATAAGCTTTCTATTCTATTCTATACTATCATGCAGTACTGGTATTCACAGTGGCGATCCTGACCAAAAGTACACTAGAATAACTTTTTTCAATATTTCTAAATGAATTATCTTCTTTCTCTGGAAACTTTAAACATCGAAATATTCACTGGCAATTTTAAAGAGTGTGTCTTTTGCAACATAAGGGATAATTACCAGACAAATCACAATATTTGCTAACTTACGGATTAAGTCGAAGTAGATTGGGGAAGACCCGGATAAGGAACAATATAATAGAGCTTTCTGATACGTCGTCCATTTGTTGACAAGTAAGCTACTTCCACCCATGTCTTTCTACAATGTTACACATTATCACAAACATTAAAGTAATTTTCACAAAAATTAGTGTAATTTTTTAGCCGGGCTTACTGCTCAAAGAGCAATTGCCGGCTTATGTCATCCTGTTCAAGGCATGAAGTCAACCCCATATTCGCCACTTTAAAGTTACGTGCAAAAATATAGTTCTTACTCTCAACCGCTTTTGAGATAATACAAACGCTTAATAAAGCAACAAAAATAAAACGACGTTTTATCTATATAAATAAATATTAGTACTGTAATAATGACTTTGAAACCTTCAGTCCTAAGTCAACGAACATAGTGCATTAGCGTAAGGATTTTTGATAATCGATGTTATCGTAGTTCTCTACGATATATATACAAGGTAAAGCAGTATATATCTCTACGATATATATACAAGGTAAAGCAGTAGAGGGAACCAGACTGGCCTGTTTGTTTACATTCAGCTGCGGTACCAGATTAATTCTGATTCTGACAAAATCGGACCGTGGTATTAGGATTGAAAACCTCACTACCAGTGTCTTATCATTTATATCGATAGTTTTAAAATAATTTTTTCATCAGAATATAAACGTAATTAATGTAAGAAATTCATTCTACTCTGTAAATGAGCCCGGCTCTCTGTACTTCTGAGTACTTTGATTTTTATGACCTTACCTTACAAACTCTTGCAACTCTAGAGACCATCTTTTTCATGAAATTTGTGTATTCCACAGCAATTTCCCAGAAGAAAAAGTAAACATCTTCATCTACATCAAAAGATGCCACAAACTGGGGTTCTACAACCGTAATGCTTCTATTTACCACCAATTAGGAACAAAATAATCTGCTACTCAAAAAAGTTAATATCTGATAACAAATTATTTTTTTTATTGATGTCATTTACAAGTTTCTAGAAGGACTCTGCAAGATTTCAATCACTGCTCAAGGTCTAATATATTTTACCATTAAGCCAGCGGATGGGGTCTGCGGTCTCCATATCTCCAATCACTTTGTTACCATCTTTTACAAGTTGTGGTCGGGATATGGTGGCCTTCCCGTTGTCTAGGATGGTTGCTGAGTAGAGGGCGGGTACATCTCCAGGGTTACCGTTAGCTACAGAAACAAACCAATATTGCTGTTGATGCAAGCTACACATCTTCTGTTAATCTTCACAGACTCTTTTTTAAAAGTTGATAAAATCTAGAAACCTAAACACTTTTCATACAGAATTTTTTTTTATGAAATCAAAAATCCCCAAATTCTTACAATTGTTTCTCTGGACAAGTAAATATCTTATTAGCTAAAAATCTTTGTAAAACATCAGTGTCAAAACGTATAATTTGCAGGGTGAAGAGTTTTACATATTATGAGAGTTTCTGGAGCTATAGTCATCGAAAAGAATGTTGGACAAGTCACCCCCAAGACAGGTCGCCCCAAGACAACTCGCCCCTTATTTTGGACAACTCGACAACACTCAATAAAAATCGCCCCCTTTTTAAGAAACCAGCAGGTATTAAATATATTATACAAAGATTTGAACTCAAATTGTTTCTAGAAAATTAAAAAAAAAATTCACATTCTATTGAAAACATAACAGAAATAAAATGTATTAATAATTTAAACACCATCGCTAGTATTGTTGCTACTGGCACTTTTTATTTATATCTTCGCTAAATTCTTACATTTATTTTACACTTGATTTTCATCACAAAACCTAAATAAATATAATTTTCAGAGCTTGCATGCTAAAATTCTCCAACAAGTTGAAACTGCTTTGGAGCTTGGATACGACACGCCAATTTTTTAAAACTTAATACATGTATTTGTAATTTCAGGGCTTGCATGTACTAGTTACATTAGTTGTCACTTTGAAGTATTAAAATTAGTTGTTAGCTTGGGTATGTCACTAACATTTCTTCTGACGTTTTCATTTAAAATTAAGTAATTATCAGTATCATCAGTTTCCTTGTACACAGTAAGTTAAACGTTAATTTCATCATTGAATAATTTAGATGTTTTAGCACTGAAGAATATGCTTCATTAAATTAGAAATATTTTATAAATAACAATTTTAAAAATATGAAATATAAAAAAAATGCATTTTTATTAACTCCATTTCGGAAGAATAAAGTTAAAGAAAGCATGGATAATACGATAAATCTTTGATGCAAACATAGTGTTTTTATACAAAAATATTATGTAAATCCATCATGATTAAAAAATAAATACTAGTAATCTAGCTACTACAACTGTAAATATTGATTATAATTTAAATTTGCATATAAAAAATACATTATTGAATATTACACTTGTTTGTTTTTCCTTGCAATTTACAAAAAAAAATAACGGGAGCGAGTTGTCTTAAGAGGGGGCGAGTTGTCCTAATTTTAGGGCGAGTTGTCTTGAGAAGTGTTGGCGAATTGTCTAAAGGGCTGGCTGTCCTGACTCCATAGTTTGTATAATCTGGGTGATGCCTATATACACTGCTTATAAGGAGATATTGTTACTAATTTTTCCATAACTAGGTTACCCATTTCCTGATCTAGTTTCTGTAGATTATCAAAAAAAAAAATAAAAGAATCAAATAAACACCATTTCTCATTACAGTTAAAAAAACCCAATATTATCATATTATAATGTAATAAATGGATAACATTTCAATGTAAAACCTCATGAATTCAAATGCTTGCTGAATCTCTTATAATAATGCAATTTCTCAATACATTCGAATTTTTCATATAGTGTTTACAAAATTTATAAAGTGAGAAGCAATAACAGACTTCTTTCTCTACATGGAAAGGGTACATATTTTGGATCTGTTTTGCATCAGTCATGATGATGTAGTCTTAAAGGGTAGCAAAACCTACCTTTGTTAAATAAATTATTTTTCTGAAAACATTTGTACATAAAATCTGCCTACGTGAAAACAAAATTACTTTATTTGATAACTTTAAAAGTAAAGACAACAGTAATTCCCAATGATCATTTATCCTTTAAATGATATCGGATACTTCATACTCACTGACATAAACTGCAGTTGTGTTTTCCTTGGGGTCCCCTGGACATGCTTTGGCTTTTTGAGATGATAATAGGCTGAAATCATTATCGTGTATCTGAAATATAAAAGTATTCATTCACTGTAGTACATGTACTGTATATATCGTCAGTGTAACACAAATTCTTAAGCACATTTATTTATACCTGAGCTATGCAAATGCCTTTACATGTATATCTATATATTGTGATATTAAACATGTGAGAACTGGGAAAAGTGAATTTACTTCTAAGGAACTGCTTTCACTCACAGTAACTTTATACTCGGAAGGCGTATTGGCACCAGTTCCACAAAAGTATAGTGTGGCGTTATCAACACGAACGATATACTTAATGTAATTCTGACAGTACTCCTATAGAAACAAAAAAGAGAAAAAAAGAGTATTCATTATGCATCCCTAATTCTTATGTATGATTAGATAATTAAGAAATAAGATATCATTTTTAAGAGTTTCATAGGGATATTACACATGATGAACGCTAATATACGTCATATCCCAATGAAACTCTAATAACTGATATTCTATTTCTTGTATTTATATTTTAAATTTTATTCCGGTTACAAAGAAAAATGTGCACTATCAAACACCAACACTTAAACTTATATGTATACAGCAGCCCGGTCCTCCGGACTGCAATAAACATTGGCAAAGGTTACTATTTAAGGAATGACTTTAATTCTTTGATTCTCGAAGCGGATTATAAAAAAAAAAAAACCGTAAACTGACTTAAACCAGGTTATACTCGAATAATTTGGCTATGATTTAGAAACATTCCTCATAATTTAAATTTAAAATAATTAAACAACTGCGGTTTTAAAATTGTGTTGTTATTTATGAGTTCAGATTTGCCGCTCAATAATGTATCCCAAGTAACAGAAATGCTGGAAAGCGAAGGGAGGAAATAACTGATACACAGACCTAGCAGTCATGATGTTTGTTTACATGAGGTAAGATCGAGCTACTATTTGAAGTCAAAGGTAAATTAATTAAATCTGAAATTTTCCACAAGGACTGGAAATGAGGGGATGGATAGATACATATGATTCAGCTGGTTGTCAAGGGGCTGTGTCCCCATTCCAAAACCAGATTATATAAAATAATTTGCGTTCCTTTTTGGGAATCAACCGATGAGAGGCTGGAATATGTATAAACAAAATTAAATTATTTGTAATTGGAAGTAAAAACCTTACGTTAAATGTACAAACTTTTTATGTATTTTTATTTATGCATGTAAGCAGGTCATATAATTATACATGTATGTAAGCCTGTACAATACTTACAAACGATTTCCCATTAAAAGAACACAGCTTTCTATTTTCATCAGAAGCCAGAACCCTTTTAGTTTTCTATCACAAAAAAAGTCAGAAATACATTGTACACATTAAAATACATGTCTTGTACTACCTTTCATATCTTTATTTCGACAATATTTTTATAGTCCTTCACAATAATAATTCAAGAAAAGCTTGGTAAAAATTTTTAATGTAGTTTTGTTTTTATTTGCACAGCGTATGTTATCATTAGTTATCAATCATTTAAAACTTTCCACAGGTCCATGTCAATCTCATATAAGCCACCCGAGTTTATACTTACTGTCTCCGGTTTAAGATGGTTGGATAAATATGCTTGCTCTATTGTTCTTGTTCTGTGTTGTTCTATTATATTTATCTATATCTAACAAAATTGATAAATTCTATATTTTTTTACATTAACTTATGTATTGTACTCACCAGTCCATTTTTGTCACTGATATCTTCTAACCTTAATCGTACTAAATAATTTCTGAAATGAAATAAGAAGAAACTGGAGGTCAAAACTGGAAGAACAAGAGGTCCAGGGACCACAACATTGACCCGAGTAACTTTGGCCCTGCTGCTCTTCAGATTTCAGAAAACTGATTTATTGTGAAAAATTGTGACCCCATATTATACTGACAACTCTAATGGTCTCTACATGTAAATCCACACAACATAGGGATGCTTCAATATCATTTATTTTTCTCGCCTCTTTTTTTTTCATACATTTATTTCCAATAACATACAACAAATTTTGAGGCAAAACTTCCTTAGAAGCCCTCGGTTAATACCTCACCTGGGGTGGCAGGAGCTCCCTGGATCGGTATATTTTTCAATATTAAATTTACAAAAGTTTACAATAAGAAAAAAAAAAAACATGGTTATTTATCATTACTATTATTTCATTTTCACAAAAAGACAAATATTTCATTGAAAAACATTTCATATTAAATAAATGTGTAGATAAAATATCGAAAAATAAAGATAATAGCTCGTCTGCTAACTTTTTTAAAATATAGTAATTAGATTTAACACTTTTTGCACTCTTTGCTATTACATAATATTGATACAAAGACGATTTCAAAAAAATTAACATTGCATTTGCATTTACTATTTCGTTTTGCAACCTACATTTCATTCTATATTTATATATTTTGTATCCTACAATTGATATGACATTATTAAAAATCATTGTTGTGTTATTTAACTCATTATAAAATCCTACAACAATATGTTTCCAGGATAGATTTAAATTCAATACTTGAGATATTTTTTCCCATACTCTTTTTGAGTCTGTACATTCAAAAATTAAGTGTTTAATATATTGTACTTGCCCGCAAGATGTACAATTTTTTGTCACCTCTTTATTCCATTTACAAACATGATAATTACAGTTCAGTTGGTTGTGTAAAAGTTTAAAATTGAATTCTGCTATCTGTTTATCAAAAATATTTAGTATCTTAGCTGTATAGATATTTTTCCATTGACCATTCATTATATTGAATTCTTTTGACCATTTAGTTTCCATTATTGGTTTTTGTTTCTTTTTAGAAAGTAAAACTTTATAATAAAATCCCGATTTTTCAAATTCTGGCTTGAAAATAAAAATACGGGTTTTGTATATTAGTGTTTTTTACATTACAGTAATTTATATTTAGTTTTTTAATCGCTTTTTTTTCATGATAAGATATTCGCACAAGTAATTACTCTTTGATTCAATGATCTCTTTTACTTCTGTAACATTTTATATACCTTTTGTTGTAAACAAATCTTTTACATATAAAATATGTAACATATATGTTATATGTAAAAGATTTGTTTTTCTCGCTTCTTGGAGAAAAGCAGGCAAACTATTTGCATGGGTATAATGAGGAATTGAAATCAATGACTCTTGGTGGAGGTGTGGTTGGCATTAGCGATCGAGGCTTTTGTTGGTTCATCATTGAAAATACATTAGTATATACGTATTTATCATTTTTTTCCCCTGGAAATCTCATTATTTTTGTGAAATTAGCTCTATATCTAATTGTTCCGAAGTAAAGATCACATCCCCGCGGTTGGGCTAAGTTAGTCATGTATTGAAAATACAAGGCGTAATAACAAACTTAAGGCATCATCTAGCGCCATTCTCTCACCAGAGGGCGTTTTTACGCTTCGCTCCAACAGCGTAAGCGGAGCACGCCCTCTGGTGAGAGATTGAATCTAGCGCCTTTTAGAAAGGCCTAACAACGCCTTTTGGAAAGACTTAATAACGCCTTTTTGAATGGAAAGGCGTAAAAACGTCTTTTCAAAAAGCGTAATAACGCCTTTTTTCAATGGAAAGGCGTAATATTATATAAGAAGTTATTTTCGTAAATATTATATAAGAAGATTATTTTTCGTGATATTTTCATAATAATTTTTTTTTTCAAAAGGCGTTATGATGCAAAGGTGTTATAATGCATTTTTCGCGTTATTATGCCTGTTTAAAATGCATATATACACTGTAACGCATTTTAATTTTTTTCTCTATTGATTGATCCTAATAGGCTTTTGTACTAGCTAACTATGCAAAATTTGCCCCCCCCCCCCAAAAAAAAAGAAGCAATGATTCAATACAACATGAGATTTTTTTTTGTATAAGTGTTTGAATTTTTCCTATATATTTTTATGTAAAACTTTGATCCCCAATTATACCCCTTTTTCAAACCCCGCACCCAGGGACCATAGTTTGAACAATATCCTAGGATGTAAACTAACTATGGACTCTTCCACATAAGTTCCCTCTAGTCCAGTGGTTCTTGAGAGTACTTTTAGAGAATTTTCCACATGTACTTCTTTGTAAAAAAAAAATCGATCCCCTTTTGTTACCCTGCCCTAAAGCTGGAGCCATGATTTTAACAATTAAATATTTGCACTTCCTGAAGAAGCCCTTACTGAAATTTCGTCTCTTCTGTCCCAGTGGTTCTGAAGAAGATTTTTAATAACTCCACGTGCACTTTTTTTGCCTTAATTTTCTTAATTATCTCCCATTAGAATAAAACTTGGCCCTTTTGAAGAATTAAGAATACTCAAGGATGTGCTTACAAGTGGCTTAGTGGTTCTTGTGAAGAAGTCGAAAATGTTAAAAGTTTACAGATGGATGGACGCTAGACAACAGGTGATCAGAATAGGAAAAAGAGTACCAAAGCACTGGAAGTTTGAAGCAGAGTACTAAATGGGTAGGCTTTACCTGATTGGCTGAATTCAGTATGTATACTTTTTAAAGTAAAAATATTAGTGTCTGAAATAAATGATGGAATTTTGGAATATTACAGAAAATATAGAAATACCAGGGGAGATTGTAGGAGTGGGGATTGATATTTTTGGCAGGGTGTCATTTACTGCCGATCGCTGTAAGTTCTAAATACATGTAACTGCAAATTTGACCTATAAACGCCGCGGCACGGTATATTTGTTTCCGTGTTTTAATAAGTGCTTAGAACGAACTTTCAAATGATATCAGGAACTAGTAAATTACTGGGAGTGCATAAGGTTTGTATAGAGTTCTATGGGAAATTAATTGGTACTTTTTTCCCAGAAAAAACCATGTATTCAGACGTTTGGCACGCTAAATTCACAAAAATGAGCTAAACATGACTTCACAGTCGATAAAGTAGGTTTATCGGTAGTAAACTATAGTTTACGGACTGTAAACTATATTTAACAACTTTTATTTATATTTTACATCTGTAAACCAGAATCTATGTTTCAGAACCGTAAACTATACTTAACGCTGAAAACAATCATTTGCGATTGCACTACATAGATTATCTGATAAAATACAATTTCACGATTTGTAAACCATGGTTTACAATTCTTAACTATAGTTAACAATCTGATATGTATAGTTTCACGATTTGTGAAACAACGATTAACAATTCTTAAATATAGTTAACGATTGTAAATTATAGTTTACAGACTTTAATCTACATTTATGTTTATCAACACACTCAATTGTTATTTTAGCTCACCTGAGCCGAAGGCTCAAATGAGCTTTTCTGATCACATTTTGTCCGTCGTCCGTCCGTCCGTCCGTCTGTCCGTCTGTAAACTTTTCACATGTTCAACTTCTTCTCAAGAACCACTGGGCCAATTTTACCAAACTTGGTACAAAGCATTCTTGGGTGAAGGGAAATTAAAATTGTAAAAATAAAGGGCCAAGTCCCCTCTTAATCAAGATAATCAAGAAAAGACAAAAATAGGTTGTGGTCATTAAAAAAATCTTCTTCTCAAGAACCACTGGGCCAGAAAAGCTGAAACTTATGTGGAAGCATCCTGCTATAGTGCAGATTTTAAATTGTTCAAATCATGACCCCCGGGGGAAGGGCTGGGCCACAATGGGGAATCAAAGTTTTATATAGAAATATATAGGAAAAATCTTTGAAAATCTTCTTCTCAAGAACCACAGGGCCAGAAAAGCTGAAACTTATGTGGAGGCATTCTGGTATAGTGTAGATTTTAAATTATTCAAATCATGGCACCCGGGGGAAGGGCGGGGCCACAATGGGGAATCAAAGTTTTATATAGAAATATATAGGAAAAATCTTTGAAAATCTTCTTCTCAAGAACCACTGGGCCAAAAAAGCTGAAACTTATGTGGAAGCATCCTGATATAGTGTATATTCTAAATTGTTCAAATCATGACCCCCAGGGGAAGGGCGGGGCCACAATTGGGAATTATTAAGTTTAACATAAAAATATATAGGAAAAATCTTTGAAAATCTTCTTCTCAAGAACCACAGGGCCAGAATAGCTGAAACTTATGTGGAGGCATCCTGGTATAGTGTAAATTCTAAATTGTTCAAATCATGACCCCAGGGCAAGGGCGGGGCCACAATGGGGAATCAAAGTTTTACATAGAAATATATAGGAAAAATCTTTGAAAATCTTCTTCTCAAGATCCACTGGGCTAGAAAAGCTGAAACTTATGTGGAAGCATCCTGCTATAGTGCAGATTTTAAATTGTTCAAATCATGACCCCCGGGAGAAGGGCGGGGCCACAATGGGGAATCAAGTTTTACATAGAAATATATAGGAAGAATCTTTGAAAATCTTCTTCTCAAGAACCACAGGGCCAGAAAAGCTGAAACTTATGTGGAAGCATCCTAGGGTAGTGTAGATTCTAAATTGTTCAAATCATGACCCCCGGGGGAAGGGCTGGGCCAAAATTGGGAATTATTAAGTTTAACATAAAAATATATAGGAAAAATCTTTGAAAATCTTCTTCTCAAGAACCACTGGGCCAGAAAAGATGAAACTTATGAGCACATGGAAGGATCCTTGGGTAGTAGATTTCAAAATGTCTAAATTATGATCAGTGGGGTAGGGTGGGGATGCATTATGTATTACAAGGGGGAAATCTGGTAAAGAACAGAATGGTCAAAGCTTTTCAGGTGAGCGATGTGGCCCATGGGCCTCTTGTTTTATTACAGAAAGATAAACTTAGATTAGAGTAAACAACCGTTTAATATAGTTTTACAGGTGAAAACTAAAGTTAAGGAATTGTTAACTATAGTTGACGGTTTGTAAACTATAGTTTTAGTCGATAAACCTGGTTAGTCAACTGTGAAACGATGTTTAGCCCATTTTTTGTTAATTTGGTGTGCCATACAGATGAGCCAATAAAACACCCCGTCATGGTGTATAAAAACTATCTGAGTCTGAGGATCATTTATTTAAGTAGTATAAAGTATTTATTTAGCGTCACGAATTAAGGAGCTGATCCGTACGTCGCGGGTTCGAATCCCACTGTGAGACGTGGAGACAGGTCCTCGGATGAGACCATATAAACCGAGATCCCGTGTACCAAAAGGTGCTGGTACACAAAAGATCCCTCATGTACTACTCAATGTCCCTTAGTGCCGAGTATAGATCAAAATTTGCAGCTCTCTATTGCAAGTGGCGGCTTCTCCATAAAAATGAAAAGTTCATGAGAGGGATGTTAAACAATAATTGGCTGGAAATATCGTATTGCGATATCTTTAACTCTATTGCGATATGTATTGCAATATTTTCAATGACAGTCAAAAGTTAAAAATCATTTTATCAACCTCGATCTATAAGCAGCGTGTGTAAATTTTTATTTTCTTGATTTAACTACAGATCTGGATTAAATGCAACCATAAAACAGTTACCTTACCGGTTGGTACTGTTTGGCACAATTGAAAACGTTCATTCTTGACATATTAAATTTCATATTTTACTTAAGAAATCGTAAGTCCAAGCAGTTTGCCGGTGTATTGGTACTGGAAAAATGCATAACAATACGATAGTTGAATCATCCTTACTAGCTCCGTCACATGATAGTCTATGTGGATGATGCTAAGATTATTAACTAAATGAAAAGAGAAATAAGGATGTTCAAAAATCGTCAGTTGGTAGAAAATTTTTAACAAGATATTGTTAAAAAGTAAGTCCTAATCACGAAACAAAACAAAAAGTATCCCGATGGAAATGTCTAGTATGTAAATGAAAGAAAAAAGCGAGCAAGCTCACATACCCCACGCTTCCCTAAAACTCGAAGTACCGAAATTCCCAGAAACAATAAAGGAATCGGAATTGTTTCCTTAATATCTTTGACGAAATTCTGTACAGCGGTTCATGAGGAGTTGCGCTGACAAAAGGACAGGACTGACAGACACACTAACTGACTGACTGACAAGTCAAAAACATTATACCTCAAGCAACTTGTTGCATGGGGTATAATAAATATACCAATAGTGAGCCAATTGAGTTGTCATTATATTGTACTAAACATAGTTTTACTCGGGGGTTTGTTCCCATTTCGCCTTAACTGTAAAATTTAGCATTCCCATTTCGCCTTAGTAAGTTCTCAGGTGAATTAAGGTGATGAAGATTTAATATATCTAGCATAAAGTTTTTTTTGGTATTACACGTATTATTTTATTCACAGTATTCATAATTCCCCATTAATTGTTAAATTCAATCTTTTTTTTTTTATCATTTTTTTATATCAACCCAGTAATAATATTTACAAATACTAAAATTCTCATTTGCCTTAGTACTTTTTAGCTTTTTCTTACCTGAATTTCACAGTTAAGGCGAAATGAGAACACACCCTACTAGGGTAAGGCAAAAAAAAGTGAAATTTTCTTACATATGTATTTTTTTGTTATTAAAACCCATCTCACCTAGCACCAATACACGAGTTGTATTAATAATGAAACCTAACAAGTTGAAAAATGACCAATTAGACTTTACCTTGTTTAGTAAACCTAAAGAGTGACCCATTGGAAATGTTTATGTGCATACAGTATAACTTTTGATATAAAATATAATACTTAGAGGATATTTATGTTTATTTCATGATTGGGACAGGATTCTTTTAATGTTTTCACGAGTGCAAAACACTAGTGAAAATATTTTTTTTTTTTAAATCTTGTCTCATGAGTGAAATATTTTGCACTACAAAATCAAATTCTCGGTTTATTACATTTTTACTGATTTGCCGCTGCTTTTTTGTTACATGCAGTGATTGTAAGATTTAAATTTGTAAACATGGTATTTACCAACGATTTGAAGAAACTTTAACCCAGTGGTGTTGTCTATATACACGTTGATTTAATCTTACCTAGCACCAGCAAAAAGTGACCCAGTGGAGATGTCTACATACAAATAAGTGTAGTTCCTTATGCCGTCATTTTGGAATGTCTTTATGACTAAATCTACAATAAAATCAATTAATCAGGTTATACATCATTATCTTTTCCATAAAACTGACCTTCTTTCAAACTAATTTCATTTAAATTTTGTTCGATGGTGACCTTGAACTTCCAAGTTTTTGAGCAAGTATCATTAAAATCTTATATATTTAAAGAGTGTAGAGTTTTACGTACTTTCAGAACTCCTGTAGAAACAAGGAATGGTCGATGTAAATTGAAACAAGACAAAGAATCTACTATCTTAAACCAATACTCAACAAACAATGACCACCTGAAGTTAATACTAAACAATTAATGCTCCACCTAAACTGACACTAATCAAAAAATGGTCCATCTAAAACTGACACTAAACAAAACAAGAGGTCCAGGGGCCACAGCGCTCACCTGAGAACATCGGCTAGGAAAGAGCACATATCAGATCAGAACTAAAGATGACTGAGGTGGGGGGGGGGGGGCTTGAATTTTCACACCCCCAGGGGTCATGATTTGAACAAACTAGAATCTTCACTACCTGAGGATGATTCCATATAAATATCACTAATCATACCTTTGAAGTACCTGAAAAGAAGATTTTAAAGGTTTCCCTATATACTCCTATGTAAAACTTTTGACGGCCCAGGGACTATGATTTGAACAAATTTGAATCTACACTACCTGAGGATGATTTAACATGAGTTTCATCTTTCCTGGCCCCGTGGTTCTTGAGAAGAAGATTTTTAAAGTTTTTTCCTATATATTCCTATGTAAATCTTTTAACGGCCATTATGGCCCAATCCTAGCCCCGGAGATCAGGATTTGAACAAATTTGAATCTACACTACCTGAGGATGATTCCACATGAGTTTCATCTTTCCTGGCCCAGTGGTTCTTGAGAAGAAGATTTTTAAAGATTTTTCCTATATATTCCTATGTAAAACTTTGATCGGCAATTATGGCCCCATCCTAGCACCGGGGGTTATGATTTGAACAAACTTGAATCTACACTACCTGAGGATGATTTCACATGAGTTTTATCTTTCCTGGCCAGGCGGTTCTTGAGAAGAAGATATTTTAAAAATGCCATTAATTTTTCTCAAATTCATAATTATCTCCCCTTGGAATAGGGCTTGGCCCATCATTTGAACAAATATAAATCCCCTTTACCCAGCGATACTTTGTAGCAAGTTTGGTTGAAATTGGCCCAGTGGTTCTTGCGAAGAAGATGAAAGTGTGAAAAGTTTACAACGACGACGACGACGACAGACAACGGACAAATTTTGATCAGAAAAGCCCACTTTAGCCTTTGCCTCAGGTGAGCTTAAAAGGTACACCTTAAAAAAATACGTAGCAAACAATGGTCAATCGATAATTATGAAACATGGTCCAACTAAAACTTAAACAAACATTGAAACAACGGTCCACCTAAAATTGACATCAAACAAAGACACTCCTCAACTTCCAATATTTTGGTTACGAGTCATAGCTAACATATTACAGTCTGAAGATCTTTATATACTCAGAATATTTCTTAAATTCTTGGATTGTTCAGATTAATTCATACTATAACATTTGTTCACAAATAAAATTTGCGGGTACATGGACAACAGCTGATCATGTATCTTTCGTCTGGTACTTTAACTAGAAGCTTTAGCAATTTTTGAGGAAGAATATTGATATGGAGTTCTTAAATCATGTTTAAATGTTTATTATTTATTATGTTAAAGATCTAGATGCAGAAAAGTTCATTGCATATACTTTTGTATACATCTACGTTTCTAAGTAATCTAAAAAGAGATGGCCAAACTTAGCGTGCAGAAAGCTTCAGATATATAAAAGATATATTCAAATTGTGAATTTAGTATTTAGAGAAAAATTCTCATTATTGATATTTATGAAATCATGATAAAAAAAATTTCTGAGAAAAATTTCGTTTAAATTTATTCTTTTTTATAAAAAAATAATGTGGTATCCATTGGGTTCGAATCAATAAAAAAAATCATGGTTAACATTCTCTATTGAGACTAGCATGCTTTTTTTTGAGACTAGCATGCTAACCACTACGCTACACAAGACCAGGTGAAAAGTGGCTTTTAAATCATGTTTGTGATATGACCATTTATATTATTAGTGGACTTCAGGTATTTCTCGAAAAGATGTGAAAGTTATGCCATGAAATTATATTTTTAAGGTATCGTGGGTCATTGCTCCATAATTTTGGAAACCAAAATATGCATATCTATATTATGGAAACTTTGAGGAATAACTTTCAAAAAAAAAATGGAGCGAAGACCCACTCATATCGAAAAAGTAGTGTGACAGTATGAAAAAAAGACTCGATTTGCCCTATTTCGTGTGTGTATATTTCATATGCAAATAACTTTAATCTTATTGAGATTCGTACAAGTTGTAGAGATTTTACATAAAGTATACTCTAATGTAAGATGAAAAATTTAAGGAAAATTTTTGTATAGTCTAATTGTGATTTAATTTTTAACCTTCATATTTGTTGCGCTATAGGCTTACCGCTCGTCATGTTCACCCAACTCCTTTAAGCAATTTCATAAAATGTCTCATAATATCTAGGTCATATCATCTATACTTATGACATTTTTAAAATGTGTATACAGTAAACAATGAACTACATGTAGACTAAGTGCATAAATTATTAAATATAAGAACTCAATGCATTGAAAATAAAAGAGAAATCTCTTTATTTTATTTTCACTGTAAATGTCATTTAAAATTACACGTCAAGAAATCTGACTGGAAGCCCATCTATAAATAGAAGGAGATCAATTTTACAGGAGGTACCAAGGTTTTTGTTCTGTTATTCTACTGATATTAGAGGAGTTACTTTTGATCAAAACCATTGAACAATTTGGCCATGCTCAAAAACAAAACTGAAAAAAATTAAAATAATTAAAATATTCCTTTTTATGGAATGTTTTTAAATTTTGAGTGAGTTATTAGTTTGCTAATCACACATACTTGTCACGCACGTTGGCATATTTCACGAAGCGCGGTAGAAGTTCATGACAAAAATATGCCTGCATGCAAGTCTGATTTAAACACCAATAATTGACACTAAACTTGAAACATTCCTTTTATTTACAGTTACATGTAAAATGATTAAAAGCACCAAAAATACACTCAGACAGATTTGTTATGTAGATACAAATATATGTGGATTAAGCAAACAAGATAAGGTGTTAACATCTAGTAACCTTAAGTTCTTTTTTCTGACATTTTTATGCATAAGACAATCAAGGAATACATCTCTATTGCCTCACTGTGACATAACTTTAAATAGCGCGAGGTTTTTCCGTATTCCTTTCTAAACGTGAGTATATATTCAAATATGGTTGGTTAAGCAGAAAAACACAGTAAATGTAAATACATGTATTGTACAATGCAGAGCGCCTTTTCAAATGAAAATATTATCCTCAGTACTAGGATACGAAACTAGCCGTTCACAAACCCTTGGTTAAAAAATGGTTACATGCTTGAAACACACCCTTTTACTTACCCTCAAACACTTTGTACTGGCTAAGGAAATTAGGAAACGACATTGTAAATGTGTCCAATGATTTTATTGATGAGGGTGATGAGAACTAGTAAGAAATAACAAATGATGATGTATGACGTTGAAAATGACGTTGAATGACAATTGACATAGGAAGTAACTGGATTTGACATAGGAAGTTTAACGTAAAAATATGACGTTGACGATTTACAATTTAGAAGTTTCCTCCAGTGAAATAAATATCAGTACAAAGAAATCATGGAAAACTGGAAAACCAGTAAAAAAAAACTGGTAAAAACTGCAGGCACCAAGCCCTGTCACGTTCTGTCATAATATCACGGGCTCTACACAAAAAAAGGTGCCCCAAAAACGATGACGTCATATCACAACTACAGTGACCCTTAAAAATCTAGTTACCGAAATGGCCGTAACACACTTTTATTCAGGAATTCAATTCTACACTGATTAAACCACTAGTTTTTGAGAGACCAAAAATGATCTTCAGCATTTAATTTTATATAACCCTAAATAACACGTCACAACTGTTGTTTGCATGTTCCCAAATTATGAATTAGAAACTCATCTTTCAGAGAGACATGTATACTAGTGAAAATTCTTACCCTTTTCCCAAAAATGATTGGAATTCTGGGTCTTTACCACATGAATTATAAATAAAATGGAAAAAATCTTTAAAATAATATTCATTTCTCTTCACATTCCTGTTGAAACTTCCATGGCCTTAACTTGTATTTCTTGTCATCCAGAAATGTTATTTGCGTCAATTTCAATGAAAAAGGAAACACCTACTTCATGAATACATGCATAAATATATAGTACGAATTTCCATTTTCCTGTTTCCACGATATCACAGACTTTATCATTTACAAACCTTGTTAAAGAATGTAAATATAAAATACTGCTGTTTTTAAGTTCAATACGATGATTTAGAGCATTAACCTCATTGGAGGGAATCACTTGTTTCTGATTGATCAACACTGGTTATTTCAAAATTTCTCTGCCTTTGATGGAAAATTATAAAGATTGTGAAGCTTTTAAAATCATATCTATTGACCAACTTAGTAACTAATAAAATAAGAATACAGCAAACCAGTGTTGTGTACAGTAAAATTTGTCTTGTTTTTTGGGCACCACTGGTTTCACAGAAATAGGCCTCAGTAGACAACATTTTGGATTAGACATTTTAAACAATTTCCTTCACTGAGGGGGTTCAAAGTTAATATCATGTTAGGCAAGTTTTCAGAATACAAAACATCAGGATATGACAAGTAATACTGTAACGCAATCCAAATAAAAAGAAAAATTCAACATTTTTTTTTTAAAACCTGATTTTTCAAATATAAGTTAAAATGGTATAAAAGTCAATCATTGATCCTTTAATTTTAAAGGGGATTTTTTCAGAAATTTGCCACTTTAAGTGCAATTTAAGAAGAAATGCTCCTCTTATCAGAAATCCCCCCTTTGAACAGTGTATTCTCTATATTATTTAATTGTAGAAGAATTTTTTTTTGGAGGACCAGGCTTGTGACAGGATTTAAAGGGTGGGGAAAACAGGATGTGTTTTTGTACACAGGTACACATTTACTCAGGGGATTAAAAATAAAATTTTTTTTTTTGGAACCTCGACTGTAAATGATTAGTTGTAATTAGTACAATATTGATTTTTGTAAGTCAATATATTTTTTTTCTTCTCTTGAGATTTTGGGTGTCTTTTTAGTCAGCTAATTTTGATGTTTTTTTTCCCTTTACTTAAGCATTTTGGGAAGTTCAAGATCACTGACAGAAAAAAGATTATACCTATCTTAGCAAAGGAGAATTATTGAAACTATACTTTAAAAAAATGTTTATCACTTTAAATGTACATGCATCATGACTTTGACCCAAATGCTTTTAACAGATAGAAAACAATTAGTCTTGCATAGGTTCTTTTTTAAGGACACCATTGAAGAAAGGATTGTTGCATTTCTACAGAAAAAATAAGACCTGGCGAAGAGTGTCCTGTGGGGGGTATATTTATAGTTCCCCTGTCAGTTACACAAAGCCTTCAAAACAGTTTTTGCTTTCAATGTACATGTTGTTGATCCATCTCTAGACCCCCTTTTCATTTATAATTTTAAAGCTGACTTTTTTTTTTGCATTGCCAGGAATACATGTACAGTATAATTATTATTTTCAAAGTTAAAAACTGCTTCTAGCAGGCTTAAGAAGCAATCATTCAACCTATTATAGAATGTTTTTCAAAAATATTTATAGGGAATGTAATTGGTAGAGTAAATCTTATATAAAGATACACAAATTATAAAAATCAAATGTAAATGGTTTTGTTTAAATCTTATTTGGACCCTTTGACATTGGGTGGGGGTTTTTAAACAACACAGTAAAAGATTATATTTATGTTCAGGTCCCATTTCATTGTCAGGTGCAACAGGATAACCATGTACGAAATGCCTGATCCTAATGTACATAATTACAATCATTTTAATTTTGTGATATTTTTTTTCCTTGTCACAGATCAGGAGGAGTGAGTTTAGTTGACCTTAGATGACATCAAATGCTTTCGGAGTTTAAACAGGGAATAAGATAACTTTTTCTGCGGACTAGCTGAAAATTAATGATTTTTATAGTATTTATTATAAAAAAAACTATTATAATAAAAATAAAATGAAAAAAAAATTGACGTAATAGTATAAGGGCC